GAAATACAATTTAACTACAATGTCTAATCAACAAGTAATGTAAAAAAAAATTTAAGTCAGTTCCTACTTATGTCAATAAAGGAAAATTTCATTTTAGTTACTTTTTATTAAATAGATACAAGTAATATAAACATGTATACGTGGGGCAAACAGAAAGTTTTCAAGGGGGAGGGGGAAGGTGTCTAGTGTCGAAAGTTCACCCTTCTTGAATCATGCTTCAATACACCGTCCAACACATTCTTGTGATTTTGTCGATTTTCGGGAACAAAAAACAGTAAAAAATTCATCATTGAACAAATAATTAGCATTGAATAATAAAATTAATCATTAATAACAAATATTTAATTAAATTTTATGTGCTATATATATAGGATTATAATCAATCGGGAAAAAAATCAAGGACTATATGGGGGTGTCCGGATCTGGGGGTGCGCTACTGACGTATACAAATATGACAGAATCATAATTTTAAGTGAAAGAATAGAAAGCGATTTTCCTTGCAAGTTTCCACTTTCCTTTTTATATATATATGGTGTAAGACTATTTTTAGTGTGCTACTATTTATTCATTCATTAAATTTAATTACATCTAATAATATAGTATAGTAAAAAAGAAATTCAATTCTCAGAAATTAGGACATCATAGCTGGGATTCGAGCTCACAACTTATGGATTAGAATTCCAACTCGCTACTTGTTGCGCTACAGGGACACAACAAACGATTTTCCTTTTTATATATGCTACTGGACTATTAATTTTGTTTGTCAATATTTATTATTTTTTTAAATTTAATTAATGAATTAATATTTGAAAAAACTGTATTAACATCAAGTGTCATCCACTATATGCTTTAAAAATGTATTTGAACTTGAATGGATGAATAGAAAATATTTTCTTATGATTGAAAATATGAACAAGATATATGTGTATATATATATATATATATATATATCAGAGTATTGGCAAATTCAGGTGAAGGTTAGCTGGCCGAAAAACTTTGTTTAAACCTGAAATCCTGGTTCCTAAGCCTAGGAGTTTGCTGTAGTACTACTGTGGCTAAGACCATTATATTATGACTATAGTTATCTTAGATCTATATAACTATTTTTGTAATATATATATATATATATATATATATATATATATATACAGGGTGTTTCATAAATGATGGGAGTAACTTTAAGGGGTGATGGTACACATCAAGACGAGTAATAGTAAATAGGAAACCAAGTGCCCCAAACGTCTTCCGAAGGAGAAAGGCGCCATCAAAGTTTAGGGTCCTAAATTTCAAATGATGATAAAAAACGGAAAAATGGATCGATTCATTTGCGGTTTTCACTAAAATCATTCTTTAAATTAGTATTTTCTTAAAAAAAAAGTTTTAAAGACAAAGTTAAAAAATTGCCGTTAGAGGGCGCTCTAGACTTTAGAGTACCGAACAACTACCTTTTACCAGTATTTTTTTTATTTTGTTAAATGTTTACAAAAGCTTATATTTTAACTTGAATTTTGAGCGCAAAATTGAAACCATCGGGAGCGGTTAAGTGGCGCAAATGTAACCGCGTTCAGGGGGGGGGGGAATTGAAATGCTCGTATGTAATGATGAAAATAAAAAACGATAAAGCAAACTTTAAGAGGCGATAGTACAACATAAAAACAATCAACTTTGATTAGAAAATGCATGATTTGAATTCAAATGCAAACGTGTTAGAGCATCTTCAAATTTTATCCATGCAAGTGTTACAGCTGCAAGTTTCTGGAAGAGCATGAAATTTTGTGATATGGGGAAGAAGAAGAACGCATATGCAAATTGTTATTAAGATAAAAGCCACTGACCCGAGTGTGCAAGTGTAAATCACGGTACAAACGTAACGAAAGATGTTGCCCTTCACTAATCAAGAAAAGGCTGATATGCATTTCATCTACGGAACTGCAAATGGGAATAGTGCAGAGGCGCGACGATTGTACGGAAAAAAGTTTCCCAACAGGCGGTTGCCCAATGATAAAACATTTGTTCGCTTGCACAGACAGTTGTGTGAGACAGGATCCTTTTTTGGTGCACGTTCAAATGCAGGCCGTGCGAAGTCTAACAGAACGGTAGTAGTGGAAGAAAAAATTCTGGATATGGTGGCTGATCATCCAAATACAACCACGCGAGCAGTGGCTAGTCAAATTGAAGTATCGCCCTCCACGACGTGGCGAGTACTAAAGGATGAAAGAATGCATCCTTTTCATGTCCAACGAGTCCAGGAACTGACTCAAAGGGATTTTCCTCGTCGAATGGATTTTGCTCGCTGGTATCTGCAGAAGAACACCCTAAATCCCGATTTTGGTGCAACTGTGCTTTTTACAGATGAATGTACATTTACACGTGACGGTACATTTAACACCCACAATTCCCACCAATGGGCAGATGTAAATCCACATGCGTCTTCTACACATGCATATCAGAGACGATTTTCCATAAATGTTTGGGCAGGAATAATTGGTGACCATCTACTTGGACCTTATCTTCTGCCAGAACGCCTGGATGGAAAAAAATATCTTACCTTTCTGCAACAGGTGCTGCCGGAAATGATGACGGATGCTCCCCCTCGTATCCGGCGAGTAATGTGGTTCCAGCAGGATGGAGCACCAGCTCATTTTGCGCCAGAGGTGCGAAATTATCTAAACGCAACCTTTCCAAATCAATGGATTGGGCGAGATGGTCCTGTCCCTTAGCCAGCGCGATCGCCCGATCTTTCATGCCTGGATTTCTTTTTGTGGGGACACCTGAAGAGTCTTATGTATGAGACTCCTATCGAATCTGCAGAAGAACTCGTCGCCAGACTTTCGGCAGCTGCAGGAGAGGTGCGCGATACTCCTGGCGTGTTTCAGACGGTTCGTGAATCCCTTCTTCGCCGTTGTACCGCATGCATCGCCTCTAATGGTCAGTGTTTCGAACAGCTATTGTAATCATTTCTAATTAAACTTTTTTTTATAACTTAAATGTTCTTTGTTTCCTTTTTTGTCTCTTAAAACGAAATCTGTTTCAGCGCCATCTATCACCTTCGGGTTAAAATTACGAGTATGATTTCTTTGATGAATGTTGCTTGTTTTGATGTTGTACTATCGCCTCTTAAAGTTTGCTTTATCGTTTTTTATTTTGATCATTACATACGAGCATTTCAATTCCCCCCCCCCTGAACGCGGTTACATTTGCGCCACTTAACCGCTTCCGATGGTTTCACTATTGCGCTCAAAATTCAAGTTAAAATCTAAGCTTTTGTAAACATTTAACAAAATAAAAAAAATACTGGTAAAAGGTAGTTGTTCGGTACTCCAAAGTCTAGAGCGCCCTCTAACGGCAATTTTTTAACTTTGTCTTTAAAACTTTTTTTTTAAAGAAAATACTAATTTAAAGAATGATTTTAGTGAAAACCGCAAATGAATCGATCCATTTTTCCGTTTTTTATCATCATTTGAAATTTAGGACCCTAAACTTTGATGGCGCCTTTCTCCTTCGGAAGACGTTTGGGACACTTGGTTTCCTATTTACTATTACTCGTCTTGATGTATACTATCACCCCTTAAAGTTACTCCCATCATTTATGAAACACCCTGTATATATATATATATATATATTATATATATAATATATATATATATATATATATACATACATATATATAGGGAGAGAGTAAACTAATAGTACGAATTGAAAAAAAGATTTCACGTGATGTCTCTGTTCGTAAAACTTTGATTCATAACACTTGTATGTAATTTATTTAATAACCTTTTCGGTTATTAAAAGACGGTAGACACAGTTAATATTTTTGTTGAGTAAAAAAAGGAATGCTAACAACTACATTCATACGGATGAATCTAGTGCAGTAATAAATAAAAATATATGGAGAAAAGTTAGAATTTAGACTATACGGGATTTTTTTTTTATTTAGTATCGAACACAAAGAAAACAATGGAACAAAATAATATTATGAAGATTAATATAATATCAGAAGGTTCTTTCTATTAAAGTAGTTTCTAAAGCCCATGGTATTTGAAATTTTAATAAGAATTTTTCTAAACTTTAATGTCTTCAAGTTTAATTTTATCGAAGATTTTCAATTTTTTTAGAAAATAATTAATGATTAATTTAAAAGTCTGTTATCATAATCAATACGTCTCATAGTTTTTAACTACGTCAAATGACGTTGTGGTAATTTGAACTGGTAATCTGCTCACGATATTAATACGAAATCCAAGATATATTTAATGTCTGTGCGTTAGTTTTCATTATGCAATTGTATTTTTTTTCCAGTTCCTAGAATTAGCATACAATCTCCCTATATATATATCTATTTCGAAATTTCAATCGTTAATAAAATACTTTCTTTTCATCCATTCAAGTTCATACACATTTTTTAAAACTCGTATTGGATTACACTTGATGTTAGTAAAGTTTTTTTTAAATATTAATTATTAGTTAAACTTAATTAATGAATAAATAGTAACAAACAAAAATAGTATTGTTATCATGAAATATAGTCCTAAAAATCAATAAGGATTTTTAACATATAAAAAGGCTTATAACAATTCTCTACATATTTTCACCTTCTCCACTTAATAATTTAATGAAAAAGTGTGAATAATACATATATTATGAAAAATATTTTTTTTGATGCATTTCCTTCCGCCTAATTTTAGGCTACCTATTAGAACTCTAAAGCTACTTTTTCAATTCCTACTATTAGTTCACACTTTCCCTATATATATATATATCTATTTACATATATATATATATATATATATATATCTTGTTCAAATTTTCAATCATTAATAAAATACTTTTTATTCACCCACTCAAGTTCAAATACATTTTTTTAAACTTCTAGAGGAGAACACTTTGATGTTAATACAGTTTTTCCAAATATTAATTCATTAATTAAACTTAATTAATGAATAAATAGTAACAAAAATAATAGTCCAACACCATATATAAAAAGGAAAATCGCTCGTTGTGTCCCTGTCACGCAATCGATAGCGCGTTAGACTTCTAATCCAATGATCGTAGGCTCGAAACCTACCTGGGATGGCCTAATTTCTGAGAATGTGATATATGAATGAATTAATAGTAACAAACAAAAATAGTAGTCTAACACCATAAATAGAAAGAACAATGGAAAACTGCAAGGAGAAAACCGCTTTCTCTTTTACTACTTAATATTTTGATTCTGTCATATGTATGCATATATTTAATTAATTATTTTTTTTGTTCAACGTTTATAACCCCCGTGCACCACGCAATGTATAACACGGGGGCATACAACACAGACAGAAGAAAGGATTACAACACAAACATCCATGCCTTCTCCGGGATTCGAACCCAGTCCTACGGCACCGCAGTCAGCTTCACTGACCACTATACCGGATGGGCGGCAATATTTATATTAATTATAATTATTCAATAAAAAGTAATTAAAATAAAAATTTTCTTTGCTGACCTAAGTAGAAATTGACTTAATTTTTTTTTTATATTCCTTGTTTAATTATGAGAACCAAATCTACAATTTTTCTGTCAGAAAATTGTTACTCAACTAACCGAGATGTGCTGTTTTCACCCATTAAAATTAAATAAAACCTATTTATTTTTTTTATAATTCCTTTACTCTTGCCATATATATATATAGGTAGAAGTATCATTGTGAGATACATATGTAAATCAATTAAACATTTTTTTTCACTTCATATTAACATTTTAAAGATTCTGCATTATCATATTCCATGGGCAGTCAAATCTCTTTTACGCATTTCATTGGTTCAGACAGATTTGATTTCACCTTTCGTTAATATTGAAAGAACTTTATCTAAGGCGACACGAGGCTTTCTTTTGAGTCACGCAAGATTCGACTTGGCCTAGGAGTTAATAAGCTTTCGTCTCCTCGGTTAAAGAGAGGATGTTACTTTGATATTCGTGATTTCACTTCACTCTCACTGCCAATGTTTACTTGGCCCTCTTCAAACACATGCTACATTGGCCCGACAGGGTTGCTCTGGCGGCACTTAAACTTGCGCCAATTTGGCGAAATTTTAATTTATTACAGAGGAACCTTGTTATGAAAAGTTTGCTGCAATTTTGCTTTGAAATTCAGGTTATGATTTTAATAGCCTGAAATTTATTACTAATGGTATAAAAAAATTTTCAATTCAGTTTCCTTTTAAAACTATGGCATAATTTTTTTCTTTCGACTTATTAATTTCTAAATTTATATTCTAACTTTTTTTTATTTTCTCTTTTCTAACGTTTATGCAGAAAATGGAATATTATAAATCATTTCCACAGAACAGGAAAAACAGAAGAAATCCAAAACCATAAAGATATATTCCATTTTTTCCTGTAACTTATTTTATTATTAGTCCAAAGCTTCAAAAACAGAATAACTACTATGAAATCTAAGTTAGATTGAAATTTTTATTGGTACATTATATCATGATTATATATGAAATATATATAATATATGTTATGCATACATAATGCATGTTTTTAACATGCATGGGATTTTTTCTGAGGAATTAAGTTTTTAATAAGGAAAAAAAAAAGGACAAAAACTTATGATACAACAAAATTTAAATTATTCACATTTCTAGAAAATAAAAAATGGCACTAAGTCTCGAAATTTTTTAATATCAGCATTATTTTAAGCATTTATTTAACTATTATGAACATTTCCGAAATTGTACGACATATGTGTTCGGAATATCTCCTAAAATAATTTTAAGATAAAAATAATATTTCATCCTTTCTTTTTTTGTCTCACTCTGTACCTTATATTCTAATTTATTTATATTTTCTCTCAGTTAAACGAATACGTGGCATTTCAAACACAAAGTAATATTTAATAACTTTTTTCTTACATTATACATATTATGTGCTAACCTTAAGGTTTTAATACATTGAAAAATTCAAGAAATTTGTATCCATTGAGAAAAGGGTTCATGAAATATTTGGAAGAGAGTTAAAGCACTATAATATAGAAAAAAAAAATAATACTGTAAGTAAATAAAAAATTTATTTAAAATTGTAACCAGCCCTTTTTTTAATCAAAAACTTTATATCGGATATTTCAAGCGCTTTCCATTAATAAATTTTCTTTTGCAAATTTATGAATAAAAAAAACTTTTTTAAGGAGAAAAAAAAATCAAATATTACGATATTTTTTTAGAAACTTGAGCGCATTAAACCTACATTACTACAGAAGATTAAAAGCACCTGTAGTATGTTTCACTGCTTCATAATGAAATTGGATGGGAATACTGTTTTACAGCCTTTCTTTTCCATTTTGCATTTTTAGAGATATGATGCCTAGATTAACAAATATTTCAAACTAAACCAGATGTAAAGTTAGGAATTTTAATGAAATTTGGTAAAGAGATTTATCTTTTTTCAGAAGTTTACAGTCAACGGAATTGTGAGGAAAAACATTTTTTTTTTTAAAAAAAGGAAAGGTTTTTTATTTTTTTGCAATACAAAGTTGTTTTTTCCTCTATGCATAATGAATTGCAATATGAACAATTTTCTGCGTGAAGAAAATAAAACAGCAAAAATTAAAGTATTAAATTAGAAGATATTCCCCCCCCCCCGGAAAGTTCATGCTTTTCTCCAGTTTTTATTGAAAATTATACATCCATGAAAATGGAAGTAAAGGAAACTTTATACATTATTATTATTTATTGACAAAGTTTTTGAACCAATGGGAAACAGTCACAAATAACTCAAAAATTGAACATTGAAAAGAAAATCAGAACTTTTCTAAATTTTTAATTTTAAATTATTATTATTATTATTTTTTTTTGAAATCTAAAAGAGGATGCTAAGGAATGGAATACTGGGAATGCAATTTACTTCTTACTGTCATAAAAATAAAAAATAAAAATACCAAATTAATGTTTTAATGTTGAATACATCTTTTCATTTTTTTAACCCACTATTTTTTTTTAGGATTCTCTTTGAAATAATTTGTAAAATTCCTTTTTAAATTTTCATTTTTCAACAAGTACTTGTCAGAATATTTTATTTTATCTGAGCGTAACTGACATTTTATTTCAGTAACGGCAGAGTTATTTTCTCGCAGCAGTGGTTTTGGCGAATACTCGCCAACTCTAGCGACATGTGTCGTGTTCTACCGCCATTACAAGGCACCGTAAGAAAGATACAACGGGGAGAGTACGAAAACTGTTAGGAGTAATTTCATTAAAAGCGGACCCCGGAGTGTCAACACGGGTGACCACGTCCCCGGGTCACGTCACACCTCACGTGACCCTTTTCGAGAGTGGAGCCCCGCCCACTCCGGGCGCTGACGTCAGTCCAATCTGTTGCGAGGTCTGCCTGTTTGCCCACCTTGATTAAAAACGATCTTGTTTGCGGTGGACAGGTATAACTGATTGAGAGTGGATACACGTCAGGGATGGGGAGGAAAATGTCGTCTGAGTAGCCCTCCCCCTCTTTTTTTAAAGGGCGGATTCACACTTTTAGAAGATTTTTTTTTAGTAACATCAATGTTATATGAGGGGGAATATCAGATAGTGATGTTATGCTCTTTGAATGATTGTGTACTGTTATGGATTTAAAAACTTTTTAAAAATTTATTTTCCTTATTGTTTGATTAAAAATAAATCTTCATTTTAATAAGACTAGCGTGCATTTTACTTAAAAAGAATTGATTAAATGAGTTTTTGTTTTTTAATTTTTTTTTATTAGCAATGTTAACTTCTGCTTAAAAATTTTAGAAATTTTGGATAGAATTTGGAAAAGAAAAGACAATGCATGTAAAATACCAAACTGGTTATAATTTTTTTATTAAAAAAAAAAAAAATCCTTTTTACATTTATCCTAAAAATTCTAAAAATCTTTTTATTCATGCATTTTTTTCCCCGCAACGCTTTATCGTTCGCATTACTGTCAAAAGACGATTGGTATGATGTACAGTTCTATATGAAAGATACGAATAGTGAAGAAGTTATTATTTATTTAAAAATTATACCTTAAATTTAATTTGTTTCATTTCAATGAAAAATTAGAAAAATATTCGGTTATGATAAAACAACACAGTGCCACACGGAATAAAAAAATAAAAAATAATAATAACTATGTGGAAATAAAATATTTTTTTCAAGGGGGAATTCAACAATATTTTTGAATGAAACTAATACAAGTACAATTTCACGTCTTTTCTTGTAAATTTTAAGTGCTGCTTTTATGCTCAAACAGTATGCTTGCAAGAAAGCCGACTTATACTTCGCTGCAAAATGGTTAATTTTGTACATTTTCTTTTAAACTTGAAACTTAAATTAATTTGATTAATTTCAGCGAAGAATTATAAAAATGTAACATTTCCTTAAAAATTTTTTTAAAAAACTAATAATGATTACAGACATACTGCCATACAATGTCTTACCATCACATGGGAAGCCGAACTAAAAATAAAAAATAAAAAATACGTGAAAAGAAATTATCTTTTGAGGAGAATTCAAAACAATCCTTGAATCTATGAAACTAGTATAAATTACAGATTTCTACGATTCTTTTCTTATAACTTTCAATGCTGTTTTCTTGCTCAAACAGTATGCTTGCAAGAAAGCCGACTAATACTTTGTTGTGTATAAAAGAACGTGATTCCAATACGTTAAATCATTTTTTTTTATGTATTCCTCTTCCTAAGACACTGTGTATTCGTATACCTACGCTGAAAACATAGCAACAAACACATAATATCGAAACAAATGTAGAAACATTTAATGTCTGGAAGAAATATACCACACAAGTATGAGTTCTTTTTACATTTGTATTTTTTTATGCAAATTTTTATTGAAACACAGTCCTTTTTTTATATACTTTAAAGTGTAACTAAAATTAATTGATATTATTAATTAAAATCTTCATAGTTGTGTTTTAATTATTAAGATTACTGAGTAAATACGAAACCGTGATTTTGAAGAAGCTTATAAATGAATGCGATGTTTAGTGTGTCAGTTGAATTAGAATATACATATAAAAAATTTTCAAAAGTAATAGTACAGCAAAAATTATTTAGATGC